GCAAGATGGCCGCCACGTGCGGACGTTTGAGACTCCGCCGTAAGACATCTAGCCTTTATTATGGATATCTATGGCGGTAATGCTCAACTAACATTTTTGCCAACCACCAGAAATAAATTCTAAAAGAAGAAGAAGAGGCGCTCTGACTGGCGGGTTGGTTCGATTTACCGCGACAAACTTCCGCTCTGTTATCTAACACACAATTCCAACTCACCCACTTGGACGTTCTTAGATATTTTACGCCAATACATTCGAACTAAAACCTTTCTGAGATGTGTGGAAGAACCGCTTGCACTCTCGCTCCTGACGAAGTGAGCCGAGCCTGCTCTTACAGGACCCGGGGCGGACAGCGGAGACAGCCCCGCTGGAGGGATGGAGACGCGGATAAATACAGACCATCTTACAACAAGAGTCCTCAGTCCATGAGCCCGGTTCTGGTATCGCAGAGACATTTCGATAAGGTGATTTAAGCTTTCATGATAGTCCATATCTGTGCAGTATTGTACCAAGCGTTACACCTAACATTAGCTAATAAACAACTTGACCAATTCAGTAAGTTTGGGTTTTCCTGCTTTTAGCAGATTTACAGTCTGTGTTGTTTTTGTTTGATGCATTGAAACATGGAACTAGAAATGAAGAGATTCGAGTAATGTTCACCAACCACTGTTGTTTTGGAGGTAACGATTTTATCATCAACTGGATCCACATGAGCTGTGTACCTCTGCAGCTCCTCCATGGGCCTGCTCCTTATCCAGCCGTATAATATAGAATATTCCGTAAGAGGCCAAAAGCTTGAAGTGTTTGTGAATTAATGTCTGAGAACCCCCTGAAGCCCTCAAGAAATAAAATGTTGCATATCAAATATATATATTTAAACATGTTTAAAATTACACACGTACAATGGTGTCAAAAGTACACACATTTGTTACATAAGTAGAAGTAGCCTATAGATACTGCAGTTTAAAAACACTGCGGTAAAAGTTGAAGTATCAACATGACCTCTTTACTGAAGTAAAAGTGAAAACGTATGTGCTCCAAAAACTATTTAAAGTATAAAGTTAGTGTTTGCGTTATATGACTCATCCAATGACTCTAGTTTTCACTAGATGTAGATGGAGCCAATGATCTGCATTGGATGGCACACATGATGTGAAATAAATATTTATAAACATTAAACCGAAGCCAAGAGTAATGAGTAACGTTTGTTTTAAAAATATAAGGAATAGAAAGTACAGATAATTCTGTTAAAATGTAATAGTAGAAGTCAGAAGTAGGAAGAAAAATAAGTAATGGAGTAAAGTATAGATACCTAAAAAGTGTTCTTAAGTACAGTAACAAAGTATTTGTACTTCGTTACTTAACACGTCTGCACATATATCCGTTTACTATATAAAGGTGCCGTCCATGATCTGTGCAATCCTTGTGTATTTCCTCAGAGTGCTCCTGTGGATGAATGTGTTTTAGCTTCAATGCGTTGGGGTCTGATACCTGCATGGTTCAAGGAGAGCGACCCAAATAAGATGCAGTACAGTACCAGCAACTGCCGGAGTGAGAATATTCTTGAGAAGAAGTCCTACAAGGTCTGCGCTATTTAAGAGGTTGTCCTTTTCTGTTTATGATTTTGGTCTAACTTTATACTTACTTTGTTGCCTCACCCTCTTTCCAAGGACCCCCTCTTAAAGGGACAGCGCTGTGTCATCCTGGCTGATGGATTTTATGAGTGGCAGAGGAGGGAAAAGCAGAAGCAACCTTTCTTCATATACTTTCCTCAGAGAACCAGCCCAAGCCAGGAGAAGGAAGAGGATCAGCAACTCTTGTCTCCAACTTACAATAAGGAAAAATCAGAAACAGGCGTAATCTCCCCTGGCTTTTCAGAGGTTTGCATTCCTTTCCTCTGTAGCAAAAGCTTAAACGTGTTATACGTGTGCTCAATTTGGAAGAAAACAGTAGGTGTGAGCATCAAACTAATCACCACAGGTTTGGTTGATGTGTTTGGAAGGAAAGTGAAGCTCCCCCTGAGTGGACAGGGTGGAAGCTGCTGACGATGGCAGGAGTCTTTGACTGTTGGTCGCCACCAACAGGTGGAGATCCTCTTTACACATACAGCGTCATCACAGTGAATGCTTCCCCAAATCTGCAAAACATTCATGACAGGTAAGAGTGACCGCTTAGAAAAGAAAATATTTGTATACTTAAATAGGATTTCCTTAAAGGAATTTGTTTTTAGTTTTTTCAGGTGTTATGCTACGTTCACAGCGAGCGCAGTTTGGGCAGCAGAAAAGCGCCTACTACTTAATTTTTGAAGCTTGTACACAATAAAGTCAGACATGTGTCAAGAGCATCCTTGATGCTTCAGAAGAGCGCTCAGTTAAGTGTGCCCAGATGTATCTGGTGCTTCTGCTGCTCCTCTGTTTACTGGCACAGAGCGGCTTTGCTACATTTGCTGCCTGAAGCTGGTTAAAAGCTGGTTTTAATCAATTTTCTTAAGCAAGAAAGTCCACCTCAAAACATCACCTGTGCGGTCAGTTCATCAAGATTATGATCCTGCCTTAAAATATTATTTTGCTGAGCCTCTCAGATCCTCACAAACAGGCGGTGTGCTGTCAATGGGAATTCCCAGCAGTTACTGTTCATCGCAGCTGGAAGTCCTTTAGGTATGTGGCTCAAACTGCAGGCACCAGAATAATAAAAGCAACCATATTTTGCCTACATAAACTGTTTAATTGGAGTGGTCATATCTATCTGCATCAGCAGTGCTGTGATTGTCTCCCTGCCAGCTCTTAGATAAGCTTTTCTGATTGGTTGATGTGGCGCGTCGAGCAGCAAAAGTTAAAATTTTCAAACTCCAGCATCTGCTGCTTGTGAAGCGCCATCACTACCCGATCCGTCCCGGAAGCACTTCAACCATACAATTTGCACGTAAACCTGCTGCTTCAATTGGGGCGGTGTGAACGTAGCATTAGAAGTAGGGAAAAATAAAATGGAGTATGGAAAAGCATGTTGGCTTCATTACTAAAAGATTAAAAATAATATAAAATAAAAAGTTGACTAATTGCTTTGAATACACCAACACATTTTTTTTTAGATAATACTTCTATTTTTGATCATTTTGAAATGATCACAGATCGAGTTTTACAGTAGGCGGCAAAGATCTACTTTAAATAAATCAGTCTTTTAAAGTTTGATAAGTTGGTGTTATCAAACCCACTTTGAATATTTGCTGTCATCAAAAAATAAGTTTTCAACACCATCACATTTACGGTAAATGTAGACTTTCCTTGATGGGATTCTTTTTTATTAATGACTATAGGAGCATCTGATGCTGATAACATATGGACTTTATCTCTGTCATTAGGTGGTTTGTCCATTGTATGGAAGCCTTTTTGCAAAAAGGATCACTTATTTAATCGCTCTGGCTTCAAATTTTGCCATTACTTTTATTCAAAATGGTTTCATTGCTGATCATAGCAATTTATATAGCAAACATTTTTTTTTTGTTAGGATGCCAGCCATCCTTGACGGAGAAGAAGAAGTGAGAAGATGGCTTGATTTTGGAGAGGTGAAGTCTCTTGATGCCATCAAGCTGCTTCAGCCCAAAGACATCCTGACCTTTCATCCCGTTTCTTCTTTTGTCAACAACTCACGCAACAACTCCCCAGAGTGCCTTCAACCAGTGGATCTGAACAGCAAAAAGGTGGTTACAACCTACCAACCAAGTATAGTCCAATCAATACCTCTCACCAGTTATCTTATAATTTAAAAAATGAATTAATTTCTGTTTTCACTAACTAAAAAGCATCAACATATATGGAAGCATTCCACTTAGAGGGACATAATCTGAACATTTATTGCTATCCCATTGTGGTGATTATAATTCAGTTTCTCAAAAGATCTAAATCTACAGACCTCTTAGATCAGATGTCTCTAAATCATTATAAAAACTTCATGGGCAGGTTTAATTTTTGAGCATAAATCTTGCCCTACTGAGGCTTTGTGAAGGTAAATCTGTGTTTTGCATGGTCCTATATTGTGTTACAAACATAAAAAAAATTTGTACCAGTTTAATCATGTAGAAGCTATTTGTCAGCATTATTTTTTTTTTTTTATGCATGAAAACTATTTTCTGACAAACATCTAGAAAAAGTACACTATATTATTAGCCTGATAAACCAGACTAAATTTGAGATTAAATGTGTGATTAAGTCTGGCCCCGATGAATGAGACATCGGAAGATTGTTGATGAGAACAACCCGTTTTTAAAACCATCACTGTGCCTATGCATTGTGGCCAATGCTCTGACCAATGAGCGCAACTGACTGTGACAGAGGAAGCGCAACAGAAAGCTGGTGGGGGAGTGTAAACAAACAGCCTGTTGGTAAAACAGCGAATACGTCCTTCTAAAAAAACAAATGAGCGTAGAGCCTCTTCCTGCTCACGTTATAACGAAAACCCCAATTCTAATCCTTCCAAAACTGATTCCAAAATCGTCATCAGAGCCAGCGGTCCTTCACACATGACTATACTGAAAGAGGGCCGCTGCAGATGGGCTGCCGTTAGCCTCGGAGGTCCGCTGGTTGCCGCAGTCCTCCCAACTTCGGAAATTGTTCTTTTAATTACACATTAAATCTGTAAATTGACCATTTAGTGACGCTTTAAAGTATTCTTGCCTCAAATGATCTTAAAACGTACTTTTATTGAACAACAGCAACAGAAAAGAGAACTTTTACCTTTCCATGGAGCACTCCATTGAAAGCTACTGCTGCAGTGCATGCTACTGTTCAATAGTTGTTGCCATCTTCCTTGTTGTGCTTTCTCCAGGGTCGTGCAGCTTTGTCGTCACGCCCTTAAAACCCCGCCCTCTTTGCATCCAGATATTCAAAACAAATCTCTGCGTTGTGATTGCCCCCCCAGTTCTAGGGCCTGGGGCACTGATTGAGGCTAGACAAACTCGCAGGCAAAAATGATTTTGGCCGCTGGCGTGTGGGGCTAGTTTACTAAGCTATTATGTTATTTTCCATGTTTTCCAGATTGTTCATTCTTCTTTGCCTTTTCTATAAAGTGCTTTGAATCAGTCCTACCTGTCTTAATGCATGCTGGGTAGAAGCCAAGCCTTCTTGCTAAACCAGGTCCTGGAAAAGGACGGTTCTTGCATCTCAAACTCCTGCGACTGGACCTGTCAATCACCTGCAAAAAGTCTGCCCTGTGGCGGGAGGTGGCGAACAAACACACTTCCTCTCCTATACCTTTGTATTGCAGAGGAGCTACTGCGCACGTACAGCTTGTAACACGAGTCAGTGGGCAGAGATTTTTGAGCCCTAGGGCAAAAATACTTCTCCAATCTGACCAAAAATGGAATGACACTTCACTAGTCATTAAATATTAATTATCTTAAACATCTAAAAAATATATTTTGATTATATTTCAAAATATTTTACATTTTAATTTAAAATTCACCCAATGATACTAATCAGTCATTTGGTGTAGGGTGGCGCCCTAGCGCCCTCTATTGACCAGACACTACTGCTCTCAATCCTTTTTTAGAAATCACAGTTTTCTGTCATTAATCCATGTGTGGGTAGAATAGGATAACTGTCAATGAATGTATGAACCCCATCCTCATTATCTGGAAGAAGAATGGAGATGAAGGCCCAATTCCAAACCACCCCCAAAGCACTAACCCATATCAAAGGGTCACTGCTAATGAAGTCACATTTGCAGCTGTTGGTATGGCAACACAGTAATTCCCCATGTGCATGGCTGTAAATGGTGCAGGTGTCTTTCTTAAAAATAAGTTGGTACATGCAAAACTATTTAATAGAGGTCTGAGGACTTCAGTGTTGAAGAAGAGCATGAGTTCTTTGCCGAGCTGAATGCGCACTTTCATCTGGTTTGGTCTGCCGCGGTTTCCGTAGCGTCGTGAACGCGCTTTTAGGAAATCCTATACACTACTGTTTATGCTCTAAAAACATTCTAAATGACTTCGTTTCGAGTAAATTATGGACGCTACACACTCAGGACACTTGGAATACATTGGACGAGCAGTACGGAGGAATATTGACACGTTTTTTGTGGACTTTTATGGACCTTTCTGTCTCGGTCACCATAGACCTCCATTATTTTAATGTCAGCAGACAGCAAGAAGCCTCCCAGATCTCCAGATGCATTTGAGATATCAATAAAGTACTCCAGGGTGTTGTTCAGCATGGGGGTGAGTAGAAAATGAAGGCTAATCATGTTTTGGGTGTACTATTCCTTTAAACAGTCCACTCACCCTGCCTGCTACAGTATTAGCCATTCAAAATGTCCTCACTTTCCTTGATGTGCCCTTGGCTGATGCCCTACAATTCATTTTTAAAAATCAATCTTATTTCTAAAATATTCTGTCATGATTTGTGGACATTAAGGTCTAAAGAGAACTATTATCTTCAGGCCAGACACTAATTGATTAAAAGGGAGGAGTCAGGGTAAGAAAAATGCACACACCCAGGAGAAGGCCAGTGGCTGGAAGTTGGAGGGAATTTTGCTGGGAATTGCCAGGGAGTAGGCAGCCATTCAGCCGGCGTTGCACTGGGAAGGGCCATTTTGAATGTCTGCTACCATACGTGGGTTGGAGCTTTCCTTAATATGGCGGCCCCTCTGCAGGGATGTGCAAATGCAGGGTAAACTGCTGCGGAGGTATAACCAGCCCTTAAGGGCTGGCCAACATTGCCCAACACTGAAGCATGGTCTGCTCTTTTATTCCACGCCACAAAGGTAGAGGGACAATCAGGAACTAGCTGTGGGTCTTAATATGTCAGAGGAAAAACGCAAGAGGCTCGTTTGTGCAACAACAGAGGGACATGAGGGTGAAAAAGAGTGGGGATACAGGTGGAAAAAGGGTCACACAATGGCGGTCATACAAACAAAACAAGCCGGTTAGGTATTAAACAGGAAATATGCATGGTGTAAAGCGGATGTAGATTTGACCAATCAGAGCCCTCCTGTCTACGGTCACCTACAATTTTGGAGAGGTGCAGCAGAGTGTCTGCAGAAGGGGTGGGAGCGTATTTGCATTGAATGCAACACGCATGACAACCTGTTTCTGAGTATAAACCAGCATTTATTCTGACAATTTAGTGCCAGCTGGTGGTGCTGATCTACTCAATTTTAAAGACAGCACCACCATCTAGTAGGGAAATTCAGAGCACTTCATGCTTTCCTCTGCTCATACAAGTAAACCATGTCATCAGTGTTATTTAATGGAAGCCTAAACCCATTAGATAATCTATGGGCTATAAAGACACCAGAGCATAACAAGGCAGATGAGCTAAAAGGCTGGGCTTTTACCTGAACAGTGCAGAAGGCTGACTGCATCCATACAGCACCTCATTCATGAAGTAATTCGTACTGTCAGCTGTTGTTCCCCAAAAACTGGTCCAATAATCCTGAACAGTACACATACATTCCTCTCCTACATGAATATTTATTAAAAACTATTTTGTCTAAGTGAGTTCATTATTTGCCAGAATCTCAAAATCAAATTTGCACCTTGGATCTATCCTTATATGAATATTTCACTTTCATTGAGATAACAACTGTGGTTGGACTTTTTAAGTTTTCTTCTGACTAACTAACTCTTGGTTTTTCCAGGAGCCTAAAGCCTCAGCAAGCAGTAAGATGATGATGAGCTGGCTGTCAAGCAGCAGCCCTTCAAAAAGAAAGGACCCTGATGCCAATGAGAACAAAGAAGAGGACGGCAAGGCTAAGGCACAAAGCAAGCCTGTTGGAGGACTTAGGCTGTGGCTCCAGGGAGCCAATAAGAAACCAAGAACAAAATAACCGTATGAACTGAAAACCAAAAGGAAATCCTTCCATCCTTATTTTTCTGCTATAATTGTTCAGTTACGTTTTTTAAATGCATGTTAATACTTGATTTATATCTGGAAATTTGACTCAGATTTAATAAATAAAAATACAAAAAAATTCTGTCTGCTTAATTCAAGATTTTTATTACTTGAAACGCAAAGACATTTCAAAACAATGTAGATGTGCATTACCATGTTATAATGATGAATGCCAAATATTCCCATGTTTCTTTTAGAGTCTTTCAGTGTTACAGTATGTGTTATTTCAGACTATATTCAATTTCTAGCTCTCAGTATAATACAAACCAACAGTTAACGATCCAATCCGTTAAACAAGAAGCACTTAAACCATTAGCCGTCACAAGTTGGCAAAGTCAGAAATGGAGATTTACAACAGCTTTGTCTTACCTAAACCATGACTGAAAGAATCGCAATTATACACAAAGTCTAGTAAAATAAACATGTTTGCTAATAGAGGTTATTTCAGAAAAGCTCTCCTCTAGGTCCATCTGGTAGACTGACGTGCCATATCGGTTCACTCAGTTCCTGTGTTAAATGGTCTATGAACCTTTATTCTGACAGGGAACCGTGGCTTCCATCAAAATATTTATTGTGGCTCAAAAGTGAGCCGTCTCCATAAACTGAAACTACAGGGTATGACAGTAAGGTGGCAAAGTGGAAAAAGAAAACTGTACATACTTGCCAGATGGACTATTGTTACTTGATTCGTAACTACTTGCCAATTTGTTTAATCAACCAACATTTTCATCCTCTAATCTAATTGTTAACCTTCACACAAAAGCACTGCTGAAGTAGGAACGTTTCTTTTGTGATTTAGGTTATATACAATTGTAAGAAGTATTTAAAGTAAAGTATGAAGCAGCAGTATTTCCTCTGTTCGGGCTGCAGTGGTGGACTGACAGAGAACATGACCACCAAAATTACAGACATTTTTGATTTAAAAAAACAAACATTTGTCTAATCTAAGTCAAAAGTTCAAAATACAGAAGTAATGCTTCAATTTCCCACTTGAAGTATCAAAATACAAGCAGTTGGGAGCACACAGGGAGTGAACGAGAAGAAATACGAATGAAACAGAAGGAAACGTAGCCCCAACCACAATGGACCAATAAGAGGGCAAAGACTGGGAAGAAGGTAGCATCAGACAAATAAACACCTTATTCTTTCCTCAAAGTGTTCTTTGGACTAAAAGACTATTTGATAGAAAATGTATCTTCATATTTATATATATATATATATTATAAGGAAGTGTGTGCAGCATTTTTTGTGTGTAGTAATATACTCTTATGAGTGGGATGCTGCTTGTATGTTGGATGTTGGGGCATTACACAGTGGGGCGCAGGGGAGGGGATAAATAGACAAGGCAAGGCAGGGTGATGCGGGCGATGACGAGCCCCCTGATGATCCTCAGAGTCCTCAGCAGCTGCAGGGCTCTGCTGAAGGCCTGGCTCGTTCGTTCCTATCCAGCTTTATTGGCTCGGGGAACTCATTGTACAACTCCACTTCTGTCTCCTGAGGTCAGACAGAGCCAGAGTGAGGGGAGAAAACCGCATTAATACATTTAAAAAGAAAAACAACAACAACCCTGCTGCTAAAAATCTAGTATATGATTCAGCAGCTGCCAGACAGCTAGGGTTCGTTTACAGGTACCTGTTTAAGAGCGTTGCGTGCAATAGTCTGGAAGGCCTGCTCCACATTGATTGCCTCCTTGGCGCTGGTTTCGAAATATGGGATGTTGTTCTTGCTCTGACACCAAGCTTGTGCTCTTTTGGTTGTTACCTAAAAGCACAAAGGAGCTCAAATTAGTTGCTAAAGTTACAATTATTAGGCTTGAACCAACTACAGGAACACTGAATGTTTAATCTTTATCTGAACAGTGAATCCTCTTTGGGATGGTTAGAGGAACTGGACATGTATTACATATTTTGCCTAACGATTACTTTAGTACCCAACCTTTTCAGCTATAAAATAATGAGTTTTCTGTCAGGACATCCCTTCTCTTACTATCCAGAAGAGAGACTCGACTTCTGTCAGAAATACTGATATCAATGTTTAACCTTAATCAGTCATGGAGTTGAGCTGGATTTGCAAAAAAATTGTGGGTCTATTTGGGAAATCGTTGAGATAACCAAAAGGTAAACAGAAATTGACCATGAATCTTTGGGAGGAGCTTTTCTAGACACGCCCAAAAATTTTCTTCATATTCTTTAAATAAACATTTAATATTTATAAGGCATTATGGCTTTGAAATACTACAAACAGATAAAAAAATAATCACTTCCCGACCTGTCTGTTCTCCAGGTCAATCTTGTTTCCCAGCACCACAAAAGGGAAGTTCTCAGGGTCTCGTGGGCTAGCCTGAATCAAGAACTCATCCCTCCAGCTGTCTAAGGTCTTAAAGGTGTTGGGTGCAGTCACATCAAACACCAGAACACAGCAGTCTGCTCCGCGGTAGAAAGCCACGCCTAAGGACTGGAACCGCTCTTGACCCGCCGTATCCCAAATCTGAAACACACAACCATTTAAAGCCGTTTTAAAACAAAAAAACTACGATTTTGATATTTGACTTGAACTCAATAATTATGTGGTGTGGTTTGGCGTAGTCTTAACTCTTATATACACCAAACAACCATAAAGTGTATAAAGTTGCTCCAATACCTGCATTGTGACAAGTCTGTCATCTACCATAACTTCTTTTGTCAGGAAATCGGCACCGATTGTGGCTTTGTACTGGTTGCTGAACTTCTTATTCACATATTGGTTCATTAATGAGGTCTTCCCAACTCTACAATAACAAAAAAGGCAGAAAAATACTCGCCAATGTTAACAGAAACAGGAAAAAAATTAAATAAAACCGGGGATCAATGAAACCCTGAAGTGGCTTTGTACTTGAGAGAAGGTAATTATAACACTTACCCAGAGTCTCCAAGGATGATGACTTTGAGTAGAACTTTCTTTCTTGACGTCATTTTTTTCAAAAGCTGTTAAAAGAAAAAAAAAAACGCTGGATTGTTAATTATACTAATGATAAATAGAAAATTGCATGTCAGGGGGTCAAATATGCCTTTTCTTTAAAGGTAAAGTGAAAGATTTTTATGTAAGGGCGTCCTACATGTTCGTCCCCAGCTAGCTATATATTTTCGCCGCATGCGCACTGTCAGGTGTAGATGTGTTGTCAGCTATATTTTCATCCAGTCAAGCTCGCCTTTCTCACCGCGGTCAGAAGAGAAAAACGACCAGAGTATTTTTGGGATATTCTTTCACACGATCGTGTACACTAAAAGCAGAGGTCAGGCTTCCCACTAATGCCTCGGTAGCGACGTTTCTACTCATCAGGTAAAGTTTGGGATCCTATGTGGAGAAATCTATTTCACATCACTGCTAGTAAAACTTATCTACCTCTATATTGTAACTTTCCAGGGAAGATAAGTTTATTTATTTTGTAATTTGCATCATTAGTAGTTATACGGTGGCCACAGATCTTTATTTACCCCGCAAACATGTCCAAATTTCCACTGCAGCACACACACACAGATACTCACGTTATGATTTTTTTTAATATACCAGTAGTATCTGCAGGGAAGCTTTTTAAAATATAAATATGGATGAGATGGTATTCATCCAAGGGACCATCTTATCATAATATCAATATTATTTTATTCTTATACACTTTTCTAAGGTCCATGTTTCTGTGACCATTTTTTCTTTTTGCTGCTGTAACACCAGAAATTCCCCATTGTGGAACAATAAAGGGATTTTCTATTCTACTCAATGGGTGCGTCCCCTCAACTCCTCAAGGAGAAATTAACTCAAGCATGCTCTCGCACGCGTTTAATAGGCGTTCCCCTCCACAACACCTTGATTATTGGTAAATATTGTGATGATGAGATAAGTTGATAGCTTTCTCCTCACTCCTTAGGCATTTGGGGCAATGTCATTTGGTTATGGTGGGAGCTCCTGCTGCCAAAAGAGACCCTGTTCAACTTGATTGGTTTTAAACAAGTATATCTAATGTAAGCTCCTAACATATTGGCCAAAAACTCCTTTGCTATGTGATTATGGCACAAATATTTTATGATGATGATAATAGGTAAACTGTTGGTTCTTTATTAAAGCCAGATTAAATGAAAAAAATAATTGTGGAACAAAATACTGAACCTAATTTACATCCAAGTAGCTCAACAAAACACCAGCCATTGCAGTTTAAAGTCGCTTGAGTTCAACTTTTCTCACATTTGTTTAGTTCTTAGGAAGAAAAAAGGAATCAGCAGTATAAACCTAAAGAAAGCAGAAATTGGTATCAACCGGAAAAGGACAGATTAGTGCAACTTTAAAACTACAGCAGGTCATCAGTGGAGGTATGTTTAAATGCAGTATAGTCGATAGTATATGGATACATGCTCAAAATGAGCACCTTGATATGTACTTAAGAATAGCTTTGTCTCCATTCAAACCCAGGTTTAAAGCCTTGCAGGGCAGCCTAAAGCCCACTTCTCTTATTAAGCCATAAAAAAAAAAAGAAAGGGAAAAAAAAGAAAAAAAAATGGAAATTGTCTACATAAAAAACTGAAATACTGTTGTTCTCTACTTCAAAAACAATTTAGATTTTAAAATGAAAAAAAATTATATTTTTTTAATATAAAATTCAATGTATAAAATTTTTGCATTAACACCTGCATTTTATTTCTGTATTAAATGCTGTTTTATGTAACAGATTATAATAATAAAAATGTCTCCGGACCTTTACTGGTTGTTAATTTTCTATATTCTGACCCAACTGATATTTAATTGGTTACCCCTGTTTAGATTAACAAACTAGTTAATTGAATACTTCCAATTTTAAAGTAGACATTCATAACGCTTTCTAAAATATTAACTCAATGATAAATGTCATGTACAACAAAAATCCCACAAGGCAAAAAAAAATCAAATTTAAATAATTCTGAAGTATTAACAGGGATATGTTGTAAATAAAGATGCACAAATCAGGTATTTCCGGGCTGATACCAAAGATATTTTTTTTTTTTCACATTCCGAATTCAGATTTATTTTTTTCCCCAAGAACTATAGAGGTTTAAAAAAAATTAAAAACCTAATGTTCTTTGACAGAGGTAGTACTTCTGACCCTAAGAGAAATTTAAGGAATATTAAAATTCACATTAATCAATGTTTCAAAGACACAAGAAAAAGCTCATTGCAGTGTGTATTGTTGGTGGATGATTTTAGAGAGCAAAAAGCTGATTTGTTTGATACATTTAATGATAAAGTGTTAAATAAATAAAAAAAACAATTTTTCAAAATTTGACCTTCTCAACACAGAATCAGGCTAACCATTCTGATTAAATGTCAAAACATTTCATCTGAAGCTTGTAGAGCAATAGGCTTTAATTCAGGGCTGCAACTAAAGATGACTATTTTGCAAAGCGATTATTCTATCGATTTTTCCCCCCAAGTAATCGAATAATAATTGGATAACCAAAGATTCCTTAAAGAAGATTTTTATTAACTTAGGCCAGTTGAAACTAAAATGTCCAATTGAGGAGTTATGATTAGAACATACCAACAGACAAATTTTTTTTTAAACTTAAATGAAAATTTTTTATATATATTTTTACAGTTTTGATACAATTCCTGCTGAAAGGCATGTTTCATAATCTCTACATTGAGTTAACGATTAATCGATTCTTAAATTAGTTGACGATCATTTTAATAAGCGATTAATCATGATTAATCAGATTGCTTGTTTCAGCCCTACTTTAATTTTTTGAAATTTGGGGCTCATAAAACAGAATATAGCCATCTTTAATTCCTTATTTTTAAATGTACTAAATTTTGTCCTAATATAATATACTAACTCATGCCACTTTAGCTTAACAGCATAAAAGCTACATAAAATGCTGTGTGGAAAATGTAACACAACACGAATATAGGTGCTATAAACTATCATCTCATCAACTCCAAAGGTTTGAAAAGATCAGAGCAAAACCTTTTAATCCTGGTTTTGTTTTTTCCTTGGTAACAAATAGAAAGTCTTCGGTCTAGCCAGTTGCGCAATAATATGCTCCTCATAAAGCTGTAATGCTCAAAGTCCAAACTCATAAATGGGCATTTAAAACTATCACAGCGATCAGGTGATGCAGTGAATAAGCTAAAACTGAAAGGACTCACAAATTCAAACAAATAACATCCTAATATTTGATATGCTAAAGAATTAAATGAACATCCATCCACGAAAGGCCCGCAGGCTAAACTAGCATAGAGCTATCTGAATATAATCTGAACCCCATGACACTGTGTCAGGGACTGATCACATGGTTTAAAACAAACGAGTAACGGAACCATGACTTGCAGGCTGCGTTAAAATTAGTGTCACATTTAGAACATAATATGTTACTGATATTAAAGCCAACTAATATTTCTGATTCTATTTGTTTTGTTGTTGTGCTGCTAAACTGTGTTATAAAACTGCTGACTGCACGAAGGAAAAGTTAACTTCCCACTTTCACATAGTTAGCAACTTAAAACAAAGACAATTGACTTGAAAATAAGAAAATAAAGGAAGGCAACTTAAAACTATCTCCAATTCTAAAGAAAATCCGCTTGGAGCCATTCCTTGGTCGATCGCTCAACACAAAATAACCCTCTCGTAAACAATTCGGTAAGGGCTATAACAGGGAAAGGTTAAAATTTATGACAGTTATATAAAGACAACAATGACAAACTGTCACTTACAAATTGATTTAGTTATTACAAACCAACCTCGACGAAGACCTTTTAGATATAAAGGAAAGGAATTGTTAAAAAAGAAAAAAAAATGATGGTGGACCTTTTTCCTCCGCCTCTGATGGAAGAGCTAGCCTAACGCGCGAGACGGCTAAAAGCTCCGATACATATGTACGGAAAAAAAAGGCGTTTAGAATGACGACAGCTGCCCGAAAGCTGGGTTCTACACTAAACCTACCTGTCAAAGTAAGTACTGTCAATGTGAAGGTACAATTACAAAATATGACCGGCGTTTTAGGCACTCACTTTTCCTGTCAGGCTAAGCGGCTAGCTGCTAGCTGAACGGAGATCACTTCACTTCCTCCAAAACAAGCTACGCTCGTGACGACTGACGTCATGCGCTGGTCACGCCTTGTTGCCCTGAAACCAGTAGAGCATACACATGTTGCGTGCAAATCCTACCATGCGTGAGCCAGTCTTTTCAACTCCATAAAAATTAGTGTGCATATGAGCTTCTAATTTTCCATTAAATTAAAATAAATCCCTA